AGCGGACCCATGGTAACGCTTGGTAACCACTTTTCTCGATAATTTTCAAATATCGTACCTAAACAGTTCGTGTGAAGAAAAATCACACAGACCACACGCACTTCACTGCAATCGCCATTCTGCTTGACATGGCATTGCAGGAACATTGCAAGAACAAGACGATATTCAGTATGCTTTCTTGTTCAAAGCTGACTGCCTATCTTCATTACCGGGCTTTATTACATTTGGGAAATGACCATCAAAACGTATCATATTTTCGGAAAAGGCCATTAGAATGACCAAATTCATTCCCAAAAACATTTCTTGCGGGAAAGTGTGCCAACTGGCTGCCAGCAAAACGAACAACACGTCCCTCATGTGCGATTCTGGTTTCCCGCACCTGACAATGATTCCCTTTACGTCACTTACCTTTCAGAGTATCTGCCCGCTATGCGATTACAAAAATTTATTCCTATGGCTCTGAATCACTCAAATTTCTTTTTAAGGCGAATTTTTGTTTGGCGCCGCTTTTCCAGTCATTTGAGTTATGTATGCATACATCGTTGTTATCGAATCGATGCTAACAAAAAATTGGAAGCCAATTCATCGGCATCGGTCTTGTATTTTTATAAAACCCGGCCACTGGAGATTACCGTTACAACCAACCATTCCAAGTAGACATGACTGTTTGTACGGCCTGCGTAATAAAAGACCATGCAAAATGACCAACTCTGCACCATTTTCATTTCTGATGCATTAAAATCTTGCAAGAGCTCATTCACCTGGCCCACAGTGTTCGCAGTAACAGTAGAAATCCTTGAAACCCAAAAAACAGAGTAGTTCACTACCACTATTCGGAATAGCTATCAAAAAAAAAATGTTTAAAGAAATGCACCTGGAGGCCACTTGTTGTAAAATATGGTATTTCAAACTTGACAGAAATTGGTGGTTTGCCTTCTGCTTCGTCAACTACAATTGATGGCAAGCTAAAATGTGCCCGCATGAGATATTCGCGGCCTCCTAAAAATATTCAGAAGTGTCAGCGGGCTTTATAAACATAGTTTGAAAATAAAAATATGAGTTACTGAATTTGATTATTAGTAACTATGTGGGTGTTATTCAGGTATTCCATGCGGATATCAATATGTACTGTATAAAGTAAGAATCAACTAACATAATCGTAAGGGGTCTAGGAATCGATTCCATGAAAACTCACCAGGGAAACTTCGGATCATCCAAACAAATGCATTCAGTTCGGGGACATATTTGACTGAGCCCACAGAAGTCTTGAATTTCGGCGAGTCCGCATCGCTCGGAACGGGAATTATAACCTCCACATGGTTCGCAATGGACTGTCGTTTGAACTGTGATTTCGCCTAAATGTTCAACACAAATGGCATTTAAACATTAAACTCAATGTTATGCATTCTAAATGCGCCAAGGATTAGCTTCATAAATTCCAATGTCAAACAAACAGTTGATGAAATTAGTGATAAATGAGTGACCTTGACCATATATTCGACTCTGGAATGGGCATGCTTCTCCATACAGGCCTCCACCCAAATTAGCGGTTTGACCGTTGTTGTCAGGCGATAATTCATCAGTTCAAATTCGCCATCAGGCGGTACGAAACTTATTGTGCGGTCATTTTCAAATCGAGAGAGTCGTACACACTGGTGGAATTTTACATCTTCTAACTCCACTGCTTTGCCGCGTCCCCCTAAAAACTATTTTAATTTTGTCACAGAATTCAAAAAATGACGAACTGTCGAATTTTTCGATAGAAAAACTCATTCAATGCGTC